CGAGCCGGCTGCGGGCGAGTGGAGGAGGCGGCCGCCGCGCCGGAGCAGAGAAAGGGTGCGCAGCCCGGAGGAGGGTGCGCTGGTGGGGTGCAGCGGAAGAGGGGGTCCAGGGGGGAGAACTTCGTAGCAGTCATCCTTTTTAGGAAAAAGGGGGGGGGAATAAGCCCTCCCCCACCCACCTCCTTCTCCCCCGGCGCACCACACACCGTGCGCGGGCTTCTCGCGCTCGGCACCGGCCGCCCGGGTGCGTCCTGCCTTCATTTATCAAGCTGTTCTTTTTTTTTTTTTTTTTTTTTTCCTGCGGAAAATGCATTGGTCGTTCGGAGTTTAATCAGAAGAGGATTCCCTTCCCGGTCCTCCGGCTCTTCCACCGTCCCCCTCGCGTGTCTCTTTCCTTTGGAGGGTTGAAGCGGTCCGGTGGGCACCTATCCATGCCTGCACCCGGGCGTGTGTAAATTGCAGAGAGGGAGGAAATCACCGGACTTATACGAACGCTGGACTGAAAATTGTAATTCATCTGCCGCCGCCGCTGCCTACCCCCGCCCCCCTCTCGTGCTCTTGAGATCTCTGGTTGGGATTCCTGCGGATTCACATTTTCAGTGAAGCAGAAGTCTGGGGAAGCAGTCTGGAAACCCTTCTGATTTTTACCCCACCCAACCCTCACCCTCCTCCTGATTCATTGGAAGTTTCAAAGCTGCTATAAACGGAGACTTCTGAAGATTGATGGGATCGTTGCCTTATGCATTTGTTTGGGTTTTACCAAAAAAGAAAAAAAAGGAAACTTGACAGAAGATCATGCAGTCCTTAAAAAATACAGTAAGTTCTTTGCACAGGAAATTGGTTTAATGTAACTTTCAGTGGACGCAGTTGAGATTTTTGACTTTAAGTGCATTGGAGCAAATTTAATTTCCAGGCAGTCTAAGGTATTCTTTTTAGCCGTATAACTTGTAGTGGTAATGAACGTCCTTCGCGTCGGTGTATTAAGGAGGATGCACCTGATTTTAACTTACTAGAGCCGCCCCCTCCACTCCCCCACCTTTCAGCATCACGGAGGAAGTGGATTGATATTAACAAGGCTTAATAAATAATGTGCCTCATGAAATAAAGATCCGAAAGGAATTTGAATAAAAATTTCCTGCATCTCTTGCCAAGGGGGAAACACCAGAATTAAGTGTTCCGCGTGACTGAAGACACCCCCTCATTCAAGAATGCAAAGCACATCCAATAAAATAGCTGGATTATAACTATTCTTTTTATTTTTTTTTTCTTTCGGGACCGTGGGGCGGGAGCGGGAAACAAGAGGTGCTTTTGGTACCCGCCGCTTTTTCTCCGGGGAAGGATGGCGCACGCCGGCAGAACAGGGTATGATAACCGGGAGATTGTGATGAAGTACATCCACTATAAGCTGTCACAGAGGGGCTACGAATGGGATGCTGGAGATGCGGACGCCGCGCCCCTGGGGGCCACCCCCGCCCCGGGCATCTTTTCTTCCTTGCCTGGGAGCAACCCAACCGCCGCTGTGCACCAGGACCCAGCCGCCAGGACCTCGCCGCCGCGCCTCCCGGCTGCAATGGCTGGGCAGGCGCTCAGCCCGGTGCCACCTGTGGTCCACCTGACCCTCCGCCAGGCTGGGGATGACTTCTCCCGTCGTTACCGCCGCGACTTCGCAGAGATGTCCAGCCAGCTGCACCTGACGCCCTTCACCGCGAGGGGACGCTTCGTCACGGTGGTGGAGGAGCTCTTCAGGGATGGGGTGAACTGGGGGAGGATTGTGGCCTTCTTTGAGTTCGGTGGGGTCATGTGTGTGGAGAGCGTCAACAGGGAGATGTCACCGCTGGTGGACAACATCGCCCTCTGGATGACCGACTACCTGAACCGGCACCTGCACACCTGGATCCAGGATAACGGAGGCTGGGTAGGTGCACATCTGACTGAAGGAGTCTGGGTTTCGGTCTCAGGGCCAAGATGAGAAGTGTGGGTGGATCCTTGGTCAAAGTGGGCCTTTGAACCGGTGAAATAAAACCGGGCATGTAGCTTTACTTCCCTTCTTCCTTTGAAAAGAGCGCGCCCTGCTAACCCCACTGTGGTAACACCTATCCGCAGGCTGTGAAAGTTCAAAGGTCCAGTATTTTTGATCCAGTAGGATTTGGAGATAAATGGCAACCCTCCTGTGATTTTCAAAGTTACTTAGTCTGAATAACTTGTTGCAATCAGAGATTTCAGGAACAGTTTAGGAACCTCCAGGGTTTGGTCTTGACCTTGTGCATCTTAAGCTTCTCTGTTAGAGTCCTCTGTGTAGTAAAAATTGAGAAGGTCCATTTAGATGAGCAGGCTCAACCAGAGGATGGAGGCGTGCATTTTCTGACTCACTTAGGAACATTTTTCTAAAGAAGAAAAACAGTATAACCCTCTTTCCTGGAAATCATAGCTATGCTTGTAAAGAGGTAAGTTGGCACTCACTGAAGTTTGTGGAATCCATTCTGCGTGTCCCATAGTCCCAGTGAGCATGGTGTGTGTGCACCCTGATGAACAAGGCTGTGGCTGCTTTATCCTGTTGGTGAAAGATCTGCAGAGATTCTAGACTTTGTGTTCTGTCATTCATGCCCAACATAAAGATTTACGTCCAGTTTAATATCTTTTGCTTTCTCCTTCCTACAAGCCACATGATTTTGTGATCTCCACTTCTGAATGAATTTGCATCTAGAGTATCTTTGGAAGTATTGACTCTCTGAGCTATGGAGTCGCTCAAGCTCTGACTTCAGATGAAATGATTACTATCTATAGCTTTGATGAACATCTGGGAGGTGATCATTTTCTGGTACCCTGGGAGGTAGAATTTCCATTACCTTACCATACGCTTTGGGTTTTCCCTGGTTCTTTGGAAGAGGAGTGGAGATCTAAGTAAGACTCAAGGCTTAATATTAAGATCTATATCTTCTACCTAAAATAATTAAGTTATGAAAAAGTAATAATTTATGCCTGACTTTTTAAAAAGATTTTTTTTTAATTTGAAGAATTATCATTGAAAAAAGTTTTTATTTTAGTCCTGTTTTTTATAGTCTCTGGGGAGGATGACTAATATTTTTTATAGGACCTAACAGGAACAATAAGTCTGTAATTGACCACACGTGAATTAAATGTCTAGAAGCACATTACATGTTTTTACTACAGTTTACAAGATGTGCTAATATTCAGGGGCCAGGAAAGAAAACGCCAAGAAAAGTAGATGATTGATGTGAACATCTGATCTTATTTGACCAAAGTTGACAAAATATTGATGGAGTTTTTTGCACTGTTCAATGTTTAAAAGTAAAATTAACTAAAATATCTCAGTTTAAATCTCTGAAACTTACATTCTTTGTGAATTGCTTGTTTGTTGGCATCTCACATGATCAGATTGTTAGTGATGCTGGAAGAATTGGCTAAAGGATGGAAATGATTTTTGTTACATGTTTAGTTAAGTAGTAGGTGGTTTGATTTTTAGCCACTGTATTCAAACAAGTGGGGACTCCAGAAGGATCAGCTTAAAGCCAAAGTAAAACTGATTTAATAGTTTCATGATTTCATATTTTGTGAAAAAAATATTAAAATTTTTTATATCTACTTGAAAGAAATCCAAGGTGGTAACTGTGTGGTATTAACTATCAAGTTAATAAAAAATGTGGGAAACAGGGCCATATGTTTCTGCTAGAAATTTAGACATAACCCGACCTTTGTTGTTGAGATGCAATATGTTAACAGCTCATGCAACTGAGGTTTCTTTTTAAATGAAGCAGCTCTTTTTTGTTGCGTTCACTGTCGAGTTTTTGTTGTAGAGCCTATCTTTGTGGTCAGCAGGTATCTGAGGTTGATAAAGGCACAGGCTGCATGTTATGAAGCCAAACCACAATGACATACTGGAGGAGTTGATAAAAAAATTTTTTGACAAAGCCTCTTATAGTAAACATAAATCATGCAGAACCACAAATGGCTAATGGTTTTTTTAAAAAGGTATAATAGTTTTCAGAACAACACATAAATGGATGACTATACAGGAAAACAAAGGAATATGGCCAAAAAAGATTATATGTCAAAAAATGTAAACACTTTGGAATAAAAGTAGTACTATTTGAGAGTATAAGTGGTTTGTCTATTGGCCTATAGTTTCACATGTCCCTTATCAGTTTACATTTTTTATTTTAGGCATCTGACATATAGATTTCACTTTAACTTTGCACTGGTCAGGATTGTTGCTAATATGTTGCATCTTCCAATGAAGCTTTTAGTAACAGAACAGAGCATATCTTCCTGACACGAGACCATGATCTCTATCACCACAGTCAGTGTGGCTCATCTCATCTGTGGAACACTGAACTGTGTACTTTAGACTTGAAGTCACTTTTTGTTTTCTGCTGCAAAGTCAGAACCCTCCAAGGCTGAGAAAACTGTATTCCCTGTTTCATAACAGAGAGAAAGGAGTCCCTGAAATGATCAGCCCCTGATAGATAGGCCTAGAAGCCTGCAAATTAAAAACTGAAGAAACCATTGGGTATGGAGTGGGTGTGGCTTATCCTAAGTCTGAATAAAGCATTGTGTGCTATTCAGAGAAATGCAGGAAAGAAGGGGCAGTGAGAGAGCAGCAGTTATAGAAAATGTTTGAGACCTTAGGACTAAAGCATGCTTCATAAACAAGTAGCATGGGTCTCACCTGGGAGCTTCTTGGGGGAAGAATCTCAGACTTCATGCCAGTGCTGCAGAGTCAGAAGCTGATTTTGCCTGAGCCTTGAAGTCAGAGATGGTTGCTGTCAAACTTTATTCTTTGGGGGTGGGGGTGGGGCACCTTTAGGAAAAATCAATCCTGGGATGGATTCTGTAGACCTCTTTCCAGTGGCCTCCCAGGTCCAGAGTGTTACCTGGAATCCTACTTCCCAGATATCCACTAGAGTGATCCCACCCAAGAGAGAGGTAGAGAATGGAGACAGGAAATAAATGATCACAATCCCAGGCTTCTCAATGTTTGTCATAATGGTTATAGAGTTTGTACTGGCACCATTGGTCCCATTAAAGTAAGATAGTTTTCCTACTTCAATTAAAGTTGAGAGATTTGATCTTTAATAGCTCTATTGGTTGTCATTTTATCCCCTCATAATAGTTTAAATTCTCTAAATAAGTTTAGTGACTCTATGATTGCTTAGAGAAAAAGGGACTCCATGCAAGCAAAAGTCAGAGAGATGGGCCAGTTGATGATAAATGAGCACCAAGCAGAGAAGGGTGAGGACATGGAGACTCCTGTCTTTGTTAGGAGCAAGATGTAGACAATTGGATGAATGAGATGCTTCAGGCAAGACATTGTAGGAGATCAGCATCACTCTGTTGATGAGATGGTAGTTGGATTAATTTTTTTGGTCTTTTGGTATTGATGGCTTGGGGAAGATAAGAACTCAATTTCTAACACCAAGTAGAGGTCAGGTTTATTTTTATTAGGTAGACAGCAAGCAGTTTCCCTTTTCTGAATATAGTTCACTCCAGCAAAACATTTGATTAACTGGAAAGCATTACCATTTATGCCAGCATACAAACTACATGCAAGCATCATTTTTCTAGTGGTCAGCATCAGCTGCTATGGCCAATTTTGGCAGCAAAATGATAGGATTAAAAATAGCATTATGATGATCCAATCTTAAATAATATAATCACTAATGAACTTTCCTTGGGAAAATGTATCTTTCTGCCTGCTAGGAATCTCATGATCCTTTTCAACAATTTATTTTGTAGAAAAAATTATGTTACTGCTCTTAGAGTTTTCTGTCGTGTGGTATTGAGTAATAATGTTTCTGGACCTTCATAATTTTTTTTTAGTTCACTCAGTTCTCTTTTCTCTATTCAAGTTTTTATTGCTGTTTAATATCATTGAAGATTTTTCTTTTTACGCATCCTGTTACTTTTAGTTGAGCTTTCTAATGAGAGCACAGCACTCTGTTGACCAACCGTGATTGAACTGGTACATGTCACATTGTTTAAATGTCATAGGCCACACATATCTACCATGGAGCAGAAAGCCACAGATGCAGAAAGAAAAAAAAGATCAAATTTTTGTCCTTATCTCTTTTCCCAATCCTATTTTTCATTTTTGAGGGATGCTATCCCCCACCCATGAAACAGTACATGTGGACGCTTTCACTGCTAGTAGGGGTAATCTCCCACTTGTTTTTAAGGACACTCACTGTGTCTTACCAGTGGGTTGGCAAAGTAGTTTTTGAGCAGGAGTGCATTTGTGCTGGGTAACAACACTGTCTTTGTAGCATACAAGTAGAAAATTTTCTCTTACCCCAGAGGTTTATTATATTTGAGGTTCAAAGGATCTGTTAAATTTTTATTTATTTAATTAATTAATTTATTTATTTTTATTTATTTTTCTTTTTAAAACAGGGTCTCCCTGTAGTCCCAGCTGGCTCAGAACTCACTGTGTAAACCAGACTGGCCTTGAACTCACAGAGATCCACCCGCCTCTGCCTCCCAAGTGCTGGGACTACAGGTGTGTGCTACCACAACTGGCTTTTGTTAACTCTTTTTATGATAATCTAATATCACCTTATTCAGGTATGGCAGTAACCTTTCAATCTGGTCAGGCTGTTCCCCAACTACATATAGAGAGACCACTCAGTGAGTTCACTTCTCTATGAAGCTTGCCTTTCATTTGTCTCAATTTGATTCAAACTTGCGTGCCTGAATCTAAGCAGATGAAAATCATTCAGGGACTGAGACTGCCTTCAGCAAACAAGATTGCAAGACTCACGTGTGTCAGGCCCTGGGTTAGGTTGAGGTCATTGGAAGGAGGGATGAACTCAAGTTAGGGTTTTAGTTATTTTAGGGAACCCATGGTAGCCATGAGCTCCACAAGTATAAAACTCAAGACTTAGGAAGAAAAAGAAAACG